TTTAATAAATGAAGAAAATTAATGTATTGATTCAGGAAGAGGGCAGTGGCCTTCTTTTCAGTGGGGTGAATTTGCTTAGATAATATTTGCTTAGGTAATATCAGTGGGGTGAATTCTGTACTGTCTTTGGCCTTACTGGCAGATAGAGTTCATTTAGAATCGGATGACTGTCTGCATGTCTACTTCATGAGGCTCTGGTTCTCATGAGAGAGCTGTAGAAGTTGAACCTCAGAGAGTCGGAGCCCAGACTGCTTCCTCTCCTTTAGAGTGCCTGTCATCCTTCTCTGCTGCCGACGACCTCTGCCGGAAGCTGGAGGATCTGCAGCAGTTTCAGAAAAGAGAGCCTGAGAACGAGGAAGAAGTGGACATCCTCGGCCTCGCAGAGCCACTGAAGACGACCATCAAAAAGGAGCAGGAAGAAAGGCAGGAGGAAATGAGATTCTACCTACCGCCAACTCCAGGCTCAGGATTTGTTGGTGACATTACACAGAAGGTAGGACGCTAAGGCTGTGGAGCTGTCCAGTCATGGGCCAGGTGCAGCGTCCAGACTCAAACACTAGTCTGCCAGGGTGATTGTGATTGGCTCCTGCCCATAACTTAGGTGTACTCCCACTTTCTCATGTCGGGGCCTTCTGCGAGAGCTGTAAGCGCATGGGGAAAGGTTGAACATGGCTGCAAAGCCGAGGGCTAGACACAGGCTTTGTCCTGGGTTCTTTGCTCCTCTACCTCAGGAGAAACATTTCTCCTTCACAACGTATATCACATTGCAGTTCCTACTTGAGGGAAGTCTCCTCCCAAGCTTGCTGCAGTTGCAGGGCACACCCTTGTTACCTGGAAGAGAGCTCACGACCCATGGCATCTAGCAGCTTTTAATTATTGCTTGCACCATTTTGAGTTCTTCAGAGACGCCAATCGTGTTCCACGATCAAAGCTTTGGGGTGAAAACATGATTCCGTGTTATCCCGAGTGATTAGAGAGCCCTTCTGCTCGCTCGGGAAGAGGTCTGCTAATATTGATGGAACACATGACTTTCCTCCGCTCTTCCAGATTGGGATCACCCTGCAGCCCGTGGCACTGCACAGGAACATGTACGCATCAGTGGTAGAGGACATGATCTTAAAGGTGGGTGCCTGCTGCCAGCAGAGGGACTTGAACTGTGACCGAGGCTGACCAGGTTAGATTCTAGGCCCGAGGGGAGCAGAGAGGACAGCTTTTAAGTCCCTTGTCGTATTTAGGTTTTAAGTTTCTTTTCTGTTGAGTAAACGAAGTCATGTCCCTCTAAGAGCTGAGGTTTGTTGTCGTGTTGAGGGTGGGCCCCAGGCCTCATGCTTGCCAGGCAGCTGGTCTTCCCGAGTCCCCGAGCTCCAGCAGATGTCAGTGCCTTGTTAGTGCTGTTTTGTATTCTCATTAAGAAGTATCCCAGCGACTGGAGAGATGGCTCAGAAGTTAAGAGGACTGGCTGCTCTTCCAGAGATCCTGAGTTCAATTCCCAGCAACCACATGGGATTGCTCATAACCGTCTATAATGGGATCTGATGCCCTCTTCTGGCATAAAGTTGTATATGCAGATAAAGCACTATATACATAAAATAGATTTTTTTTAAATGACTAAGAAGAAATACCCTATTATGAGAAGTATCTTTGTTCTTACCATTTTAGAGAGGGCAAAAAAACAAGAGCCTTAGGTTTTCCCTGTCTGACAACAGAGAAGCAGCCACAACTGTCTGTCTGCAAAGGGTTAGAAAAGCAGCAGCTCCTTCGCCTGCCTGGTCCTCACCACAGCAGTTCTCCATTCTGCATCCCCCGCAAAAGGAGGCTTCGGTAGCAGCCCTCCCTCAACACTCTTTCTTTTCCTTAAAAAACCATGTCTGGTTAATGAAAACCACTTCATCCAGTTTATAATTTCTCTACATCATGGCCTCTAAACAAAAATTCAGTTTTTCCTGAGACCTTTGTAATATTTAATTTCAGTAAAAGGTGAGGTCGATTGCATCCTTTCCACTAGCAAGCAGGTGACTATTTTGTCAATACCAGTCTTCTGTTGTAGGCCACGGAGCAGCTGGTAAGTGACATCCTGAGACAGGCACTGGCAGTTGGATACCAGACGGCATCTCCCAACAGGTACTGTCGCGCAGCTGATAGCACAGGCTTTGCAATTTAGTTACTCTTGAAGATGTTCTGTCTTAAATATAGGAGGAGTTAGAGTTGCTGTGCTTGGGACATTAGAAGCAGACTGAGGGTCCATCCTGTGGTTCTGAGAGAGCCTCTGTAGAAAGCCTAGCTGTGCCCTCCCAGCCGTTACTTCAGAGACACCCAGGTCTGTAGTATCACAGGGTAGAGCAGGCAGCAGGTTCTTCCATTAGAGACAGGAACCTCTCAAGGGCAGACTCTAGGGTCGAGTTTGATAAATATTACCTAAGGTTTTTGTCACTGCAGACACATTATTCCTCTCAGAAACTGGGAAGCCAAGCTCCGGAGGGAGTCGTCTCCAGTGTCCCAGATCACAGGCCCCACATTTAGACGATCTCACTGGCTGGGGACCCTTGAGCTCACTGCCACTTCTTTTCTGATACATTCATCTCTGAGTGGAATGCAGAGTTCCTGGGCCTTAAGAGAGCAATAGTCCACTTTTCCTTCCTGTTCCACTGAAGGCTGTCATAAAATCCTGACAGGTATTGCAGTACCTGAGGATATTAGGTCAGAAATACGGAGACAACACAGAGGTCTTGAATTTTTTTTTTTTTTTTTTTTTAAAGAAGAAGTGGGGATAAACATTTTCAGGCCTACTCTCTGTTGCCTTGCTTGTGAATTAGGAGGAGCCATGCTTTTTCTCCATATGGCACCCTTGGTAGTTTGAATGAGAGCCTGTAACCTCACACTTGGCTGGCCAGGACTCACCTCCCGTCTTCTAAGATGAGAGAGATAGCCCATATCTTCATGCTGTTTGGAAGCAAAAGAGTCTGCTAAGACTTAGAAACACTTAGAAGAAGACTTAGGAACATTTTCTTCTACTGTCTCTTTTCTCTGTCGGCTAATCATTGAGCCAACATGAAGTTGTTGTTCCTGTAACCGGTGGTAAGATTTGAACCCTGGGTAGGACTGTAATTGCAGTTATATCTTTGATCAGAAAGGAGAAGAATTCATAAAACGTGGGAGAAAGCATGGCCTTTGTCGTCACATCCTGCTATGGGAATGGTCCTTTTAGTGAATTAACTGACTAAGTGGTTATTGAATGCATTTGACACATTATACCTAATTATATTTTTGGGTCTTTTGGACTAGGGTTCCCAAAGAAATCACAGTGAGTAATATTCACCAGGCCATTTGCAACATTCCTTTTCTGGATTTTCTCACAAACAAACACATGGGGAGACTGAACGAGGATCAGTGAATACAGTGAAGATGGTCCCCGAAAAGCAGGATGGGAAGCTGTGTCTGAAGTGTCAAGACTGTGGTGACGCTTGTGTTTGGGGAAAGGTGGTTTTCTGTGCGTTAGAATGCCATGGCTGCCGTACCATTCCTTCTGTGTAACTGCGTGTATCACAAGGGTATTGAGTCCCGGGTGCAGCCCTTTCAAGACTGAGTTGTTTCCCAATTCTCGAGGGGAGCTGAATGGACACAACTTTGTCAGCTTGCATTTCTTAGTGTGAGACAAGGCATATACACAAGGTGCTCCCTCTTTGGTGTGTGCTTGGGTTCACATGGGGCCTGCTTTCCAGAAGGCGGAGATAAATCTGACGCTGGCCTAGGGTACTCTAAAGAAGAACACCAAGGACGTACCTTCTCCTACCTTGGCTGCACTCTTGGCCAGTGTGAGTCAGCTATAGAAGGGGTAATATGCCATGTGGAAAGTCAGAGACCAAGGTGGCTTCAGACTGAGACTTTCTCATGGAACCCCAATGCCAGTGCTTCTGTGACAGCCAGTGTCAAAGCACTGTTGAGAATCCCAACAGAGATCAGAAGGCATCAAGCCTGTGCTCATGAAACCCAGGAAACTATCACTGTTGGTGTAAGCATCATCTACAGAGTCCGGCACTTGGCCTGTGGTAATATGAGCACTGGGTCCCCATATCCATGACGGCTGCAGAAGCTTTTCCTGCTGCCTCATGTCTAGGGGCTGGGGAGGCAGCCTCAGGGCAAACCTTCCTGGGATTGTCCCCTTGGTGGATCTAGGGTCCTGTTCTTCTCTGCCAAAGAGTTATCCAGATGAAAAGGGTTGAAACACCTGTGAGTGCCTTACTGTGGGCGAGAACTGCTCTAACCCAGGGTGCCAGTACTAGAGTCGCTCTGTGAGGGACAGATTGGAGGTTGGTATATCAGCACAGTCTGCAGACACTAGGGCCTCTCCAGTCCTATTCACTCTTGTGGGGGCAAAGGAAAGACCTTAGTTCCAGTTGGAAACATTCTCTTATTCTGCTCAAAGCAAACTTGAAAGGTCCGAGTCAAAGACACTTAGGTAAGCAACAGAAAATCTGTTCTCCCAGGTCCCGTAGATTGGTGTGTGAGTCAGGAAACAGCGGGAAGATAGCTGGATAAAATATGACAGAAGGGATCTTTCCAGCCGGAATAGGACAAGCATGGCTTAACGGAATAGTTGGGATATAAGCCTTAAGAATTTGGTCTGGAGACCACCCAGCAGATTGATAGGCCCACACACAGATTTCTTTAGAAGTGGACGGAGACCTACGTGGTAGGTTATTCAGATGAGAGCAGATTCATTTGTTGTGATGAAAACCTAAAGAATTTGCTTTTTGCTAAAGAAATATCAACTGATTTAAGAGTCTCTGTGTATGTTAATGTTTCCAGTGTTTTTCTATTATAATGTGTAACATAATTGTGTATCATTTTGTCTACAATAAAACTTTTAGTATTTGTGATGTGTTTTCTGAGCTGGAAGCACCATACTTGGAGGGCTCATTGGGATGTGGCCATGGTCTGGATCTTTGTGAATTTAAACTACTGTCTCCTTCCTTCAAAAAAGTTCTGCAGCCTTGTAATATAAAAGGACCACAGATACATTTGGGTCACATACAAAACAGAAAACACTTTGTTTGGTGACCATGGACATAATTATTTCATACAAGCAATTTAAGGAAGATTCATAAATGGGTTCAATTTCACAAAAAAAAAAAAAAAAGCAGAGACAGTCAAATAAATAAACTGGTTTATCTGCTGAGTTAAAGTTGGTCTGTGCTGAGGTCTGAAAGCCACTCCTGTGACGGTCCTTTTATTGTCATCTGGTGTTGTGGCTTTTAAAAAATTGCGGAAAGGTGAAGACACTACAAACCTAAAGGCTCTGAAATCTGTGGCTTTTGAAGGGAATTTCTACAAGGAGGCTGAGGAATACAGTCCACAGAGGTAGCCTGCTGGGAAGCAACTTCACAGAGAGCCAGTGAAAAAGCAGAACCCCAGAGACTAAGGTTAGCTGGGGCATAGGTCAGGGTGGGTGCTGACAGCCCCTCCCTGGTTCTCAGGTGAGTGGCATATTCCATCCAACAGAAGCCTGGAGTCTTGGAGTTCTGTCCTGTACAGCACAGTGAGGGAAGAGCGTGTGAAAGAACTCTGAGGACTTTGGGTTTAGTCGGCCCCATAATGTCCAGACAGCTGATTGAGGCCGTTTTCAAATTGCTCACTGTGGTTATGGGATAATTAATATCGAACACTCTTTGCTCAGATTAAACTGCTCTTTATTTTTCAAAAACTTACAGAATATAAAAATCATTAAATTTTATAGTAATTTTAGGTATGATAAAGTATTTTTAAAAATTAGGACTGGAGAGGTGGCTCAGTTGATGAAGTGTGTGCAGTACCTGAGTTCAGTCACTAGAACCCACATAGAAAAGGTAGGCATGGTGGTGCACACTTAGAATCTCAATGCTAGAGAGACAGAGAGAGGCAGATCCCTTGAGGCCTGCTATAGACCCAGCCTAGCTTACTTGGTGACCTCGAGACTAATGAGAAAAGGGAAAGATACCTGAAAAACACTTTGGGTGTCCTGTTCTCAATATGTGTACCCTGCACATACAGGAACACACTGACATACCTGCACAGAGTGAAACACACACATACTCGTCAGAGATGATCCCTGCTGATCCTCCAGTGCATCTCGCTGGTCTTTGTGCACATTGTGTGTATGAGATGGACTCAGGACTAAGAGAACATGACTGATACTGGTCTTAGTTGCTTCTTGGGTTGCCCATGGAGCTTTGTGTTTTAATTCCCATCTGGAATGAGGAGGGCTGGTGGGCAGAGCTATGTGGCACATTGCTGAGGTTCTAAACAACCTGTGACCTAGCAGAGGTCAACCTCACTCCATGGCCACTGCAGTGCTACAGTGTCAGAAAGAGACAAGTGTGTTTTATACTTGCCAAATGCAGCAGGGCTGTGCATTTCACACCAAGAGGATGAATGCGGGGGGTGGGGGGTGGGGGTTGCTGGGCATGGCATATGGTCACTGGCAGAGTACAGCCAGAGGCTCTTAGTTGGGACCAAGAAGCACCTGGAAGAGAGTTAAGCAGGAAAGGACAATTCAGGACCTATGCTTGGCTGACTTGACTGTGCTAAGAATTGGATATTTCTAGCAAGCCAGGCAAGGTGTAGGCAGTAGCAACCTCACTTTCAGATGCAGAAATGGAAGCTCCCGTTGTCCCAGCTAGTGCGGAAGCAGCAGTGGCACAGATGGTCCCTTTTCCCACTTACGGGTGCAAGAGCTGAAGTGGGATGAAGGTATGTACCACATGCAACACGAGTCAACTACAGCCTCAGAAGAAGGGTTTCTAATTGTCAAGGATATTAGCATAGTCGCACTACATTAAAGTCGTTATTGAGAGACCAGATGATTGGGAAAAAATATACTTGAATTTATAACTTAAGTCCAGCACATTTTTGCATTTTAGTAAACTGTTAATCTGCTCATTGCCTACATTTAGCTACCCAGCAGGCAGTCTCTTCCCTCTCGGGTACACTGAGCATGCAAACTGACAAATCTAGAGTAATGGGGCCTTTGGTATATGCATATGGTTTCAATTTTCCCTTCAGAATGACTCAGCATTTCCTGGGCTGGCAAGAGGGAGGCAGGGGATGCTGTGTGGGAGGCCTGAGCTGCCTCCCCTGCCTTGACTTTTGAAGGAAACCCTTACAGTTCTTACCAAACACTGCCAAGCCTTTGAGACATCGTCTTTTTCTAGTGTTCGAGAGATGGTTGTGCAAAGGAGACTGGGCTTGTTCCACACAGCCAGTCTGACTGAAACCTATGAAGACGAGTTTTCCAAAGGCAGAAGTTGTTCCCCACAATGGGGTAGTGAGTACCTAACCAAAGTTGAGGAGTCAGCAGGCTGGTCAAGGTGCCTGTAGGGGATGCTTCCAGACATGCTCCCAGCTCCTCACACATGTGCATGGTAGTCCCTTCTAGTCCTTGAGTTGAGGGGAGACAGATGAAATTAGTAGGACGGGGCTCAGCCTCTAGAAATACGGGGCGAATGGCATTCATGCTTTCAACATTTCACTCATCCTGGAAACGTGATCATCTTGGCTAGAAAAATTACATCTGAAAAGTGAAACCGTGTGGATGATCTTCTCCCTGGATGTATTTCACCACTGTGTGTATTTCATATATATACAGATATATTTCCATCTCTGTGTTATATATTGAAATAAATGAAATTTCTGCCTGGGTATATATATTACCACCATGAGACTCATATGCAGGTGGTCATGTGTATTTTTTAAGAACTTAAGATATTGTTATTGTTCTTTTGAAACACAGCCCCTCTATGTAGCCCCGGCCCTCCCAGAACTTGCTATGTAGACCAGGCTGGCATTGAGCTCATAGAGATCCTCTTACCTCCTGATAACCTAAGGTTGATTTTTTTTTTTTTTTTACCCCATGTGTGTATGTGTTTTGAGACAAGTTTTCTCTGTGTAGCCCTGACTGTCCTGGGATTCACTCTGTAGACCAGGCTGGCCTCAAGATCACAGAGCTCTCCCTACCTCTGTCTCCACTGGGATTAAAGATATGTGCCACCACTGCCTGGCTAAGATTTCTTAATGTAAGCATGTGGGGCACTGTAGAAAGAGATGAGAAAACTGCCTGGGACTACCATAGGCTATCAAATAAGTTAACATGCATCTTGGAAAAACCACCCAAAGTTGGTAACTGGTCTACCAAGGACTTGATATATGCATACTTTTCAGTCTGGAGCAGTTCAGGTCACAGCTGAATTGAACCTCATATTTAAAAATTGAAAGGTGCCAAATGGCAATTTAAAAGATCAAGTTTTCCCCACACACGAAGAGGCTGTGTGCAGCTGGTGGTGTTCTGCCGGTGTGCCGTCTGCCTCCACTCCACACCACAGGCAGAGTCGGCAGCCATGCTGCTCCAGTCAGCGAAGGACCAAGCCAGTTCCCCTTCTGGAGGGCCGCAGCTTTCCCAGCAGCCACGGTTTCCACTGGTTTCCACTGGTCACATATTGAGAGTCCGGGGAGCCGATGTCTGAAAGATGGCTGAGGGGTTGGGTGTGAATTTTCTCACTTCTGGAACCTAAAATAAAGTCGTGGCCACATCAGTGGACTCTTAACTCCAGTTGCCCCAACCCTTGGCTCTGAGAAAAGAATTCCTTGCCCCTTGCAGGAGCTGGCAATGGAAGTTAGCAAAATGAGCTGTCACTACTATGGTGGGTCACGTGAGCTCCCTTTATCTTTAGCTGGAGAGAAGATGCTAACTGTCCTTGCAGTCACAGCAAGGGACCCCAAGCCTCACATGTGGCATGGTCTTCCTGTACCACAGAGCTTAGGTTTTGGTATTTTTGCAGGGAACAGGGCTGTGCTAAGGCTGGAACTCAGGGCTTTGTGGGTGCTAAGCACGCAGTCTACCACTGAGCTACAATCCCACCCTTGAAAGTCTAGCTCTATTCGTCAGGGGCATGCTGGGGTTTAGGAGGCAGACAGACGCTGCTCACCAGAGAGGGTAGAGTGGTCCTGGGAATTGAACTCTGGCACTCTCTGGTGAGTGCCTGAGAAGCCACCTAGCCAGCAGCTGAGTAGCCTTTCTGTTGCTAGGAACAGTTGTTTGGGCACTGTTGTCCTTAACCACCATGCCATTTGATGCTACCAGAATCTGTCTTCTGACCCCTGTCCTGGTGAACAGCCCCAGAAGTGCCACCCTCAGGCTGACCTGGAACTTGGCCCCAGGATTGGGGTCCCAGCCAGAGCTGTGTGTTGTGATGACTCTGGCCGATCTGGCCTTTGTGGATCTTGAGGGCTTCACTCCAGTCCAAGCTTGGAATTCCTGCCTGCAACAGACAATTCCTACAATAACCTTGCGCAGGGCCAGTCGTTCCCCACGCCCCAGCTTCTTGAAAGACCAAGCCCTGTTCATTCCTGGGCCTGCTTCAGTTCCTAATGATCCTTTATCCTCCTACACAAGCAGGACCAGAATACCAGGTGCTCCAGGCAGATGGACCAACTCAGTAAGGTAGCTCGGGGGTAGCCTGCCCTACCATTCTGAGTGTTCCACCAAGAAACCTCAGCCATGTAGGCTGGGGAAAGCAGCGGCAGAAAATTGTCATGCAGGTGAACATCAGGCAGTATTTGCCACACACACACACACACACACACACACACAGAGAGAGACAGACAAGCCCTAGTTCTCAAAGCCCTCCTGAGACCTGAGCCTATCCTGGATGCCAGGCCACTGAGGGGGCCCAGAACCAGTAAAGGCTATCACCTCCTTCATGCCCACTTAGGTGCAAAAGAAATGCCATCTTAGCACAGTAAAGGTACATCCGCTTACAAATTGGAGGAAAAGGCTCAACCATATCTGACCACCTGAGTTCAATTCCCAGGACCCACATGGTGGAAGTAAAGAACTGTCTCCCACAGGTCTTCTGACTTCCACGTATCAACCAATGTGTTGTAAAAAAATGAAGGTAAATCATGGGGCTGGATGAATGGTAGGTCAGTGCCCAGCACCCACATCGGGAGTCTCACAACACCAGGCACTCAAGCTCCAGGGGACCTGTCGCACCTCTTCTGGTCTATAGTGTGAGCGCCCATGAGCCATTTCCCTGGAGGGAAAGGACAGGCTAATCTAGCTCCATGTCTCTCACTGAAAAGGCTCAATTTCTCTAGCCCTGGAGTCATCCAGACCTCTTAATTTTGTCAGTGTCTCTACTAAATGATAAACTCAGGAAAGCAGTCTCCCCTCCCCTCCGCTGCATCCCCTAACCATAGTCATAGGGCTCACCCAGCCAGGGCCAGTGCCTGGCTGTGCTAGGTCCTCCCCCTACGCTGGCCCAGCTATTGCTCTGAAGTCAACAAAGGAGTCTTTTCTTGGCAGCATCAGAACCTTGCCTCGCTGGGCAGGCAGATGGCATGGGCAAGGGAAGCTGGCGTCTGTGTGGCCAACCCTGAAGAGTCTTGGGTATAAGGAAGAGCTGAGCCAGGGCCTGTCAGATAATTTTTGCTTCTGAAGCATCAAGGTTCCAAAGACCAGCTGTCTAAGAACATATGCTGTTTTCTTTCTCCCGGGAAGGCAGGACCTCCCCCTGAGCATGCCCTAATGTCCCCAACTATTTCAAAGTTCTGTGCCAGGCAAGCTAAGTCAGCTGCCCTGGGGTGGCAGCAGGGGGCTCAAAGCAGGAAGGCCTAGAGCAGTCCCTGGGGTGGTGGCAGGAGGTGTTTCCACAGAGTGCTTGTGACATAATAGAGCAGGGACAGAAGTGGACTCATCAGAACCGGGCTACTCAGGGAGGAGAAAGGTGCACTATGGCTTACACCAAAATTAAGAAAGAAAAAAGAATACAAACTGCACTATGTTCCTTAAAAGCATCGGCCACATTTTTGTTGTTTCTTTTTTAAAACAAAGCTTCAATACGAAGCAATGGCTGGCCTAGAACTTGCTATGCAGCCAGAGCTGGCCTTGATATCACAGAGATTCCACCTGCCTCTGCCTCCCAAGTCCTGGGTTTAAAAGCATATGCCACCACACGCAGGTCTTTCCCCCTCCCCACATCTTTCATGGACCTGACCAACCTAGAAGAAACTATGGAAGCAAACTCTGGGAGGAACTAGCAAGGTTGAGAGCCCCAAGCTGCCTGTATAGGACTTCTATTCCCATCTAGCCAGACAAACAAGGCAGACCAGTCCTTTCAGGGAGACCAACAGCCAAGTGAAGCAGGACCTGTTAGCAGGGAGAGACGGAGGCCTAGAGGGTCCATGGCATTTATGATCAGGAGTGTCCACAGATCTGTTCTGGTATCTTTAGGATCCCTGGATGTGTTTTCTGAGTCCTATAGCAATGTGCTTGAATGAAATACATCTTACAAGATGGGATATAGGATGTGATTACTCCAGCCTGGTCTTAGAGACTACCTTTGGCAGTCCCAGAGGCCAGATGACTTGGTGCTGGGGAAAGCCAGTAGTGCTCCTGGGCTTTGTAAGGAGTGAGGACTGGGAGCCAGGATCTTGCTATTCCAGGGGAAGAAAGGGTTCCAAAGACAGAATTTACACTTGGTAAGGCCAGCCCCCATCTGTCAGTGCTTTTCCACTGCTGGTTTTGAGAAACTGGCTCCAAGGAGGTGGCCCAAGACCAGCTGTCTAAACCATGTTAAAGAATGAGAGCCTGAGGGGACTAACAAAATTGGTGCCTGAGTCCCATGCCTTTCCATGACGTTCAGAGTCACGTCGTCTTGCATCCCAGCTCAATTCCTCATTTGTAGAGGGACAGCAGTAACAGAGCCTCAGAAAGTAGAGCCATGTATGCTGAGAGGAGAGCAATAGCTAGCACCTTGCCCTCAACAGAGCTGAGAGGCCTGCAAGACATTCAGGCCTCACATGCCCTCCATGTGGGTTACCCAGCTTCTCCTAACCATCCTTTCCTGGAATAGTCCCCACGAAGAGAGGCTTGCACCAGTATTTCTGAATACCAGTATTCAGTGGTATTAAAGGATGGTTTCCTTTCTTCCTCTGCAAACCCCACCAATTGTTTGACCACTAGAATTGCAAGGTGCTGCACACTCAGGACCACTGGAAGAAAAATGAGCCAGTGAGATCTCTCCTCTGTGGCTTCAGCAGGCGGAGACTCCAGCTAGGGCTGAGAGCATAAGGCCCTGTCTGCCTTGCCTTTAGCGGTGTCATCCAACTTCTAACAGCTCAGCTTGAGTAAGAGAGCACAAGGCCTGCCCTGCACCACACAAACCCATTAAGTACCTTAAAGAGCACGGCCTTTATGGGGAGCCTGTCCTTAGCTTTGCTTCTTTGGCATGTACACATTTAAGATCTGTACTTGGAGAGCTTCACTGGATCCCATCCTATGACAGTCCCATAACTTCCCCAGATTAGGACAGTGGGGCTGTGACCCACGTGCCATTTGCATTCTGTTGTAAAATTTATTTTTATATATGTGTATGTGCATGCATCTATGTGTGGGTGTGTGCTGTGAGTGAGGATGCCCCAGGTGTTGGTACTCTTGAAGCTGGAGTGGAGGGTTGGAACTGAACCCCCATCCTCTGTAAGAGCAGTGTGCTCTCTTAATCAGTGAGAGACCTCTTCAGCCCCCATGTACATCTTAGTCCCAAGTTTCCATCCCACTTTTAAGGAATGTAAATGACAAAATTCCTAAAAGTATTTAAACACCTATAACTGTAATGTTTAGTCCTAAACTAGGGGTACCAAATGAGTAAAAAAATAATAATAATTGGAATATATAGCGTACCTAAGAAAAGGCTAACATACAGCACAGTTATTAACATTCAGAATATCTTTTTATGGTCAAATACCATACCTGGTTAAAAAAAAAAAAAAAACAGTAATGTGTGCCAGAGATGGCTCAGAGGATGAAGGCCTGACACAACCTGGCACCCAATTTGGATCCCTGGAATCCTAAAGTTGTCCTCTGATCTGCTCTTTGTCTCTGCCTCCATCTCTAGAGAGTCTATGTCTGCCTGTCTGTCTATACTCACACACACACACACACACACACACACACACACACAAACATATATTGAAGACTTTTGAACAAAGTGCCAGTAAGAACGGCACCATGGAAGAATAGAAAAGATCCATCTGTTTGGGAGGGGTGGTGTGAGGGTGTTAAGGGCGGTATTTGTCATTTTTGTCATTTCTAATTTTCCCACTATGAGCATGCATTACTCTTCTGAGTAGAAAGAGGATGCAGGAAGTCCTCAGTTATCCAAAGCCGAGCTGCTAAGGGGGGCAAAAAACCTGTGTGGAGTGTGCACTGGCCTTGGGCTCTGTGGGGTTGACCTGTGTGCAGCCCTCTGCGCTCATCCCTCCCAAGTTAAAGGGCAGTAATCTGAGAGGGAAGGAGGATCAACGGGGATAGGGTGGGGTTGGGACTCCCTTTTGAGGTGCCATTCACCTTGGATCCCAGGGTAGGGAGCAGCTGAGAAGGCAAGGCCATGCCGGCAGTGTCAAGAGACCAAAGAGATAACCAAGAGGCTCCCCTGCCACTCTTTAGATCTGTGATAGGTATCCAGGCTCCGTGTCATCCCTTCCTCCATCCCGCTTTGGGTGTCAGTTTCCTCCCACCACACGGTCGAGATTCTAAGCGTTCCCCTGTCACAGCCAGATACCCACCTATAAGACGTGGTCGCTACAGCAGCTGCGTCCGCGTCCCCGACGGGTAGTACGTAGACCGCCCGGGCGGGGGTCGCCGAAGACTGGCCCCTGCGGCCGCCCGACCCGGGCACGCGCTCATCCCGGGTCCCCGCGCGCGCGGTTCGCACGCCGAAGTCGCGCTGGTACTGGGTGAGCGGCACGGCGCGACTGGGCTCCCGCGCGCCTGCGACAGACGGGCTCCCACGCGAGGCGGTGCAGTCCGCGGCCGGCCCCTCGCTCCCGGGGTCCGAGTAGCCGTGCAGAGTCAGCGGCACCGCTACGTCCGAGCGGTCCAGCTGGTTCCAGCGCCGGGCCAGGCAGCACAGACGACTGATGCAGGGCCACGCCATGCCGCTCGGCCACGCGCCCGCGCTGCGCGCGCCCGCCCGCCCGCTGCCCCCGCGCTGCCGGGCGCCCCACAAGGACGGCCTCCGGGCAGCCTTAAACTGCCTGCGGCCTTGGGTGGTTGAACCCTAACATTCCCCGAATGTGACCTCATAAATCAGGTTTTTGCAGAGGGAGGCAGTTCCTCGCTATCACGCTGCCTGCAGCTGGGCACAGGTGGCAGGTGCAGCGGACTCTGCTGGGGTTGCGGAACAGAGCTAACCTGTGCCAGGGGACGCCGCAATCACCTAGGGTGGAAGTTGGGGGGCAACGGGTAGGGTGTTGTAGGGAAGACTTGGGCCATGTTTCCCGAAAAACACATTTGAGTCAGCCCGTTAATCACCATTTGCCATTTACTGTTCTGGTTTAAGTGCTTAAGAGCTTAAGTGCTGGTTTAAGTTCCTTAAGAGCTGCCATTAGCTTCCAATCAGCCTCTCCCTGGGTTCTAAAACCCCCAAACTCCTTTCCCTGCTGTGCATTCGTGCTGTATTCCGGGCTGAAGATCAGTTTAACAGAGACAACACCCAGCTGCCCTGGAAAAGCGTTTTCAGTGGGTCCGATCTGCAGTCAACCATACAAGCTGGGTTAGTTACACGGAAGTTCTGGCAGAACTTGGAAGGTCTCAGAGGACCGCCACACCCCGGTCAGTTGGTTAGCTCATCTCCCTAAGTTCATTAGCTAGAAGTTTTTACCGGCGTGGCATACCACTGCCGGTTTAACAGCTCAAGCCTGTGGCCTCATATTGACCAAAGTTAAGCCTGGAGCTCGGAAAGCCTTTTGTCAAAGGCGCATTCATGGGGACCCCGAAAGTATCTATCTCTCCTCACCCAGAGCAAACTTTGTGGACTGAGAGCTGGGCCCTGGGTTAGTCTGCTCGACAGAAGAGGGTTAGTAGTTATGAAATGATCCTTGTGAGAAAGCTGCAGATCACCGCTCTTACCAAGCCAATGAAGGGTATACAGTGAGTCCTTTGATTAGCAGGCTGATTGAGACTCAGAAAGCCTCAGAGACTCTTGGTACAGAAGCAGGGCAGGGTAGGGGTTTTTGTTTTTGTTGTTTGTTGTTTTGTATTTAGGCAGGGTTTCTGGCTGTCCTGCAAGTTGCTGACCAGGCTGACCTCAAATTCATAGAGATCCATCCCTTGCCTCTGCTCCTGCTGGGGTTAAAGGCATGCACCACCACCACCGCAGGGCTAGGGTGGGGTTTTTTAAGTCAAAAGGAAGAAATTACAAAACACCAGGGGCAGGTGAGCATGGGGTGGGTTTTTTTGGGGGGAGGAGTTTGTTTTGTTTGTTCGGGTTTTGGTTTTGGTTTGTTTTAACAATATGCTGTTTCACAGCAGGAAAGGAATTGCCCTTTAATCATATAAGTTCATTTTTCTGGAGGATTGTATATATCCAAGATACTTTCCCATCAGGGAAAAGGGAATCCTTTTTCTTTTTTCGTTTTCTCTTTCTTCCTTTCTTTCACTCTTCCTCCTTCCTTCCCTCCTTTTCTCCCTGCCTTCCTCTGTCCTTCCCTCCCTCCTTTCTTTCTTTCCTTCTTTCAGAAGACAAAGTATTGTTTACAATCTGGGTGAGAGTCTGGGGGGAGAAGGCGTAGAACCGGGGCGCCTGACGTCTAGGCCGTTTCATGGCCAGTGAGATGACGCAGTGGGTAAAGATGACGCACTTTCCACCAAGCCCAGAGTTCAAGCCCGGGGATCCACATTATGGAAGCAGTACTGATTTCCCCACATTGTCCTGTGACCTCTGGGTGAATTATGGCGTGTGCTCCTACATACAAAGGCACGATAAACAAGCAAATACAATAAAACATTTTAAATATGTGTTTATTTTATGTGTTTGAGTACATGTATATATGCAGACCATGTGCAGAGGCCAGAAGAGGGAGTCTGATCCCCCAGACTGGACCTATAGATGGTTATGTGGATGATGGGAACTAATCAGGTCTTCTGCCACGGCAACAAGTGCTCTTAACTACAGAGCCATCTTCCCAGTCCTGTAAAACATTTTAAATTAAAATTTTAAAGTAAATAGTTTTACAGAAAAGATAAGGCTGGGAATTAGGCGTGTCTGTCTATAATCAGCTCATGAAAGGTGGAGACAGGGATCAGAAGCAAGTTTGAGGCCCATCTCGGCTGCATAAGACCCTGTCAAGACACACACACACACACACACACACACACACACACACACCTTTTAAATTATGGTTTTCGGTGTTAGAGATTGAACCCAGGACTTCGTGCATCCCCGAGCCGAGCTACCCGAGCTACCTCCACAGACCCCTTTACTTGTTCGTTCATCAAACTTACTTCTTGCTAGGGTTGAGTGCCCTCAAGATTTTGTGTGCTGGATGAGAGGAATGTTAGCCCAGGTGGTATAAACGGGGAGGGCTGAGGTTAGGCTCACCTGTCCAAGAGAAGAAGACTAGTCCTGGGGAGGAGTCAGAGAAGGGTTGAAGGGTAGCAGAGCAGGGCTGGCCTGGACAGACATACAAGGAGTTCTTCCTAGGTGACAGTAGGGAATGGCATTTCTGACACTCTGTCAGTCACGTGGAGCAGTGTGACATTTTCGGTGCCAGCTGGAGAAATAGTCTGGGACTGGAGAGAATGGGGACTGCACTAGAGCCTTGGCACAGGAGTGGAGAGGAAGAGCTGGCTTCTAGGATTAGGAAGCAAGGCAGGGAAATCTGGAATGGCAAGATGGCACTTGGATGGTAAAAGCCCTGCCACCAAATCTAATAGCTTGAATTTGAGCCCCAGACACCCCGTGTGGTGAAAGGAGAGAACCAACTCTTACAAATTCTCTTCTGACCTCCACACATGTGATGTGAATTCCTCCCACCAACAATAAAGTGTAATTTTTTTTTCGAGACAGGGTTTCTCTGTAGCTTTGGAGCCTATCCTGGAACTAGCTCTTATAGACCAGGCTGGTCTCGAACTCACAGAGATCTGCCTGCCTCTGCCTCCCGAGTGCTGGGATTAAAGTCATGCATCACCACCGCCCGGCTTAAAGTGTAAATCATTTTAAAGATGGAAATTTTATTTGTTTTATGTGTATGAACATTTTGCCTGCACATGTGTGTACCACTTGTGTGTAGTGTCAGAGGAGGCCAAGAGGTTGTCTGGAGTTACAGACAACTGTGAGACACAAGGTGGGTGCTGGGAATCAAACCAGGTCCTCAAGAAGAGCACTCAGTGCTTTTAAACACCGAGCCATCTCTTCAGCCCCCAAAGATGGAAAACTTGAATAGATCTGAGGCCTCTGCTTCAGGAGACCTCACTTCTTTGGCCAGCAGTATTGAGGTGCACTGCAGTGGGGGCCACTGTAACCGTCAATGTGCCTCAACAGACATTGACGAGATGAAGGCACAGAATGTCTGAAGCTCAGAAGACCCACACCACAACAGAAGCCACAGAGGTTCCTGTCAGAGAATGAGTGTAAGGGAGGAGAGACAGCAGCCAGGGAACCCTTCCCTTCAGGGACAGCATAGCCAAGTGGCACCCAGGGAAAAAATGGCCTTGAAGGCAGAGATCAAACCTCAGCAGAGAGGCCAAGCTAGGGGTGCTGAATACCCCCAGTGTACAGTTAGGAAAGAAGCCATGGCTGGCCTCATGTAGGCTTGTGTGGGCAGCATGAGACGCTAGCATCCAGGATACCTGTGGCAAACATGGCCTTCCCCAATGCTCTAGCACTGAACTTGAAAAGATCCCATCCTGACCATCCCAGAACTTTAAATATGTTTACAGTGCGGTTTACTCAGTGTCCGCCATCTGGGAAGCAGGGCAAAAATCTGCCTTCAAAGTTTAGTCTTGTCCCTTTGGTCTTGTGTTCCTCCATTATCAAAGCCTCCTCCACCATTGTACAATAGGGGGAAGTGGTCACACCTCCAAGTATTGTATTCCTTCTCCGTGCCAGTTGGAGAATATCTAGGTTAATGTTAACTCGGAGCAAATAGCAGTGTATATGTGTTAAGGTTCTTCCACACTGAGCTCTTAGGACCGCCTGCCTTCTGACTCTTGACCAATGCTGAGGTTACAGACATGCACAGCCATGTCTACCGCATGGGTGCTGGGGATTAAACTCCCTGCCTCATGCCTTTAGAGCTTGCACGCTTACTCACTTAATCATCTCCTCAATCCCAAGTGTGGTCTTATAATGTACTCCTGTTCCTCTCTACAAAAGTCAGTAAAATCCACTCTTACAGAATATGGAGCCAGGGAGATGGCTTAGGGAGTGTCAGTCCCAATGACCTAAGTCAGATCCCTGAGATCCACATGCTAGAAAGAGAGAACTGAGTCTCACAAGCTGTCTTCTGACTTCCGTAAGTGTGCCGTAGTATGCGTGCCTGCTCTCCAGTGATAAAAATTGCTAAGACACCCAAATCCTAATAATACAGAATATACAGTGTCCCTATCACTCCCACTGTTATTAGTCCATAGGAGCTGCTGCCTAGTCACATAGGATTAACATCTTGCCCCTGAGCGTCCAGACAGTTGTTCAGCTCCTTAAACACAAAGGGTATCTTGGGTACAGAGCTGTGAACATGAGAGCACAGCATATAGAATAACAGATAGTTGTGCCAGGGATGGGGAGATTGGGATGGTTTCCCCAACTTGGGGCCCAGGAGGTAACAAAGAACAGGTCAGTACCAAAGGAGCCTCCTTCTTCATTATGCCTCAGGTTGTTCATTATGCCTCATGAACTGTTTTGTTTTTGTTTTTGTTTCTTAACTGAGCCTTGTCTGACAAGTTAAAACAGCACATCTCTTTGAATTTTTCCACCCGCAGTTACATGTCAGTAATAACTAACATGTGCTCCTATTTTCCAGTACTGCTCCCCTGTCTTGTCCTAGTTCCTGTCCAGTGCCCCAGGAGCCTGGGAGAGTGCATTTACAGCTTCAACAGAGCAGAAAAGACCATGAAATAAGATCTTGTTATGTATCGCTGCTTGGCCTCAAACTCATAGAGATCGGCCTGTCTTGGCTTCCCAACTCCTGCAGTTCAAAGCCTATGCCATCACACCCTGGAACATTCCACTCAGTGTTTAGAAGTCCAGACATCAGCAGCATTACAAAGACCACCGTAGAGACAGATGCACTGTCTCCTCACAGGTCGGTGGCAAGACTTTGCCCTCTGTATTCTCACTCCTTGGATCAGGAGGCCTTTGGGGGCAGGTACATTGTGAGTCTTCCCAGGCTGTGAGCCTGTGCTCTTCACTGGCACCAAAGAGTAAATCACCTCATCCTTCCACACAACAGGAACCACCCACGTGGCTGCCTCAGATGGCCCACAGCTGCCATCCCAGAGGTCATTACTTCTCCCTACGAGATTTAGATAATTCTCAACACATCCTGTGAAAAGCGAGGAACTTGTTCATCTCAAGGTAGACACTCCCCATTCACTGCCAGTCATAAGTCCCCAGTTGTGATGTCAGAATTGGCCACAAACTTTTTAAACTTTGAAATACAGTTTTATTTTGTGGGCTCAGCAGAGCATAAACTCCCACAAGCACAGTAGAAGGGTCTGCTCAGCAGACATTTAAAACTCTCTTTAAAGGGGATGAAGAGGTGGTTCTTTAGTTAGAAACAGTGGCTGCTCTTGCAGAATACCCAAGTTTAGTTCCCAGCACCCATGTGACATCTCAAAGCCCCTGTGACTCCAGTTCTAGGGGACCTGATGCCCTCCTTTGACTTCTGAGGGCTTCTTTCTGCACATGGTGTATACGCATACATTCTGACACATACACATAACAAAATACAGGTAAATAAATATTAAAACAGTCAGGTGTGGTGGCGCACACCTTTAATCCCAGCACTCAGGAGTGAGATGCAGGCCGATCTCTGTGAATCTGAGCTCAATCTGGTCTACAGAGTGAGTGCCAGGTCAGCCAGGGCTACATATTAAGTTTCTGCCTCAAAAACAAACAAACAAACAAACAAACAAACAAACAGTCTTTGCCAAGTGTGTGTATACATTTTTGCGTCGGTTAAAAGATATTCCATGGACTAGAGAGATGGCTCAGCTGTTAAGAGCACCTACTGCTCTTGCAGAGGAACTGAGTTCAGTTTCCAGGACCTCCAGGAGATCTGGTGCTCTCTTCTGACCTCTGTGGACTCCTGCACACATGTGATGTAATAGATACACTCAGGAATACACACACACACACACACACACACACACACACACACCATACATACACCTTTTTTAAGTCAGAAACTAACTGTATAGCTTTTGCTGGCCTGGCCTGAAACTCACTATGTAGACTAGGCTGCGCTCCAACTCACAGAGATCCACCTGCAACACTGCACTGACTATAAATATTCTAAAAAGGTATGCCGTTGTCTTAGTTAGGGTCTCTATTGCTGGGAAGAGACACCATGACCACAGCAACTCCATAAAGGAAAACATTTAACAGGGACTGGCTTATAGTTCCAGAGGTTTAGTTCATTGTCATGGCAGGAAGCATGGTTCCATACAGCCAGATGTGGTGCTAGACAAGCTGAGAATTCTACATCTGGATGAGCAAGCAGCAGGAAAAGCGCATGAAACTGAGCCTGGCTTGAGCATCTGACACCTCAAAACCCATTCCCAGTGACACATTTCCTCCATCAGGGCCACACCTACCCCAACCAGGTGTGGAGTAGGTACCACACCTTCTAATAGTGTCACTCCTATAGGCCTATGGGGGCTATTTTTATTCGAAGGACCCCTGATATTTTTGTTTAGACAACAAGGCATTGATATGGCTATCCAGTATGAGTCAGCTAAGATATAGGTCCTGACATTCAAGGACCTATATGAATCACCACAAAATGACAGACACTGGATGTCAGGGGAACTCCACAGTAAAGAGTGATTGGTGTGTGATGTAATATAACTAATTTTGTCAAAGTATCACTTTTGTGTAGTTAGGTATAAATAGGACCCTGAGGTCAGAAGCCTGGACCTGCTTCTTTCTCCCCCTCTCTCTTTCTCTCTATCTCTCCCTCCCTTCCCCTCGTGTGTGTGTGTGTGTGTGTGTGTGCATATGCATGTGTGCATGCATGAGTGTGTGTGTGTTTGTGTAGGCTTGTGTACAAGCATATGTGTGCTGGATTATGCCTGAATGACTGCCTTCCTTCCTTTTGCTTTCTTTCTTAGGATCATTAAAAACAATGACTTAACACCAAGACCTCTGGAGGACAAAGCCATGCTCCACTTTCTAGGAGCTGTATTATTACCATGCAGTTAGTTCTACAATAGCATTATTGACTTTAAGTCTAAATAATGGATACAGTTTTATCAAAAGATTAGCATTAGCAAATGGATTAAAAAGAACAGGATTCATAACCACAAATAGGTGAAAAATAACAAAAGAGGCTACGACACGCTTAATCAACAAAGATTTATATTCTTGACATTCCTTGGCTTGATAATCTTTTCCTTCATTGTTCCCAGTTACCTGAATTGAGATAAAGCTATAATTTAAGAACGTTTATATAAAAATGGCATATTTATGTTTCATCCAGCAGTGAGTGCAGAACACCCTACTGAGCAAATACCATGAAGCATCGCAGTGTCCTACATAACCAACTACTGAAGGATGCTGCCTGAAGCTATATCTGGACTTGGCAAGCTAGTTTTCCTGCCTATAATCTTCTCAGGAACTGGAGACCAGAATCCACAGAACTATGTCTGACTTCTCTTCCCCATTTTTCTCCATTATTCTACTGAAAACCTTTATCCAAAACCACTTACAGAATTTAACAAATTTTGTTTCAGCTTTCTGGTTTTGTCCAGAAATAAGAGAATTCTTCAACAAGAGATTGAACACAGCCACTATGAACCACGACAGGGATCTGAGGTGATGCTTCTAGGCTAGTGATTTGACTTGAGCCTTGTGTGAGCAACTTTGAGATTCCAGTTTGTTCCATTTGAGTGTACCCTTCCTCCTTCCACTTTCTATATTCTAGAAAAATATTATTATAAAACATATCTTCTGTCTTTCCAATCTTACCATATTATATTATAATTTTTCACGTCTTACATTTACTATATTTTACATTGTATAGCACATTTATTTATTTTATAATAGATTTCACTCCATAGTTAGATTTTACAGTCTCGAATGTGTTCTTGACTCACACTGGGTCTTTGGAGGATGCAATGTTTGACAGTTTCTCTGGCCTCCCCTGGCAGCTCAAGTCAAAGTCACTTACATGTGTGTCGGTTTGATCCTGTCATCATTTCTTCCCACTTTCCCTGTGTGAGAGAGGAAGTGCTTTCAGTCTTCTGCTGACTTCACTTTTTCTAAAGTCTCAGTTTTTAGAGTTCATCTCCCATGACCAAGTTTGTAGAGAATCACAGAGGTACCTTGTAGGACAACACAACACCAACTATCTAAAAAAGGGGGGCTCCATCATTATCATTATGGGGAGCTGTTGTTTGGAATGTGTCATAGCTGACAACTCCAACTCAAGGCAGTCTCAGCATCATTGGCATTCTTCACTCACTGCCCTTTAATAGGCTCTTTGGGTGACCATTTAAAAAGACTATTGTCATAGTTCTTTGATTAAGTAAAAATAACTAGAGAATGATGCACTTGGCGTGTAGTCTCGGGATAGTCCATCATGTCAGAGACATTTGGTGGTAGGATCTTGAGGAAACTAGTGTCATTGAGTAAAGGAGAAGATGAATATTTGTACTCAGGTCACTTCTTCAGTTTTTAGGAGTCCAGGGACCATGCCCAGGGTGTGGATGCTAAGAATTTGGGGTAGATATTACCACTTCTACTAACCTAACCATGATAGTACCTCAAGGCCATGGGCAAAAGCTAACCTAAACTAGTCCTCATAGCTGTGCCTAGAACCTTACTTCTTGGTGGTTCCATATTCTGTCAATTTGATATTAACCATCACAGATTTTTATTGCAAAAGTGGCAGGAACTACTTTTTTTGTAAAGTTGTCCAAGTTTTTCATGAAATATTCTGGTTTCTATCATTCAGTGCCTAGGAAATTTGTCTTAGGAAACCAAGTTACAACAGACATGTCTTAAGATTATTTTCTTTATCAAACTTAAGGTATTCATGACACAAATATTTTATGAAAAATCAAGAAAATTTTATTTATTTATTTTTACATACCAATCCCAGTTTCCCTTCCCTCCCCTCCTCCGACTTTTCACTTCCCCCACCTTCCCATCTGCTCCTCAGAGAGAGTAAGGCCTCTGCTGGGAAGTCAACTAAGTCTGTCTCATCACCTTGTTGAGGCAGGACTAAGGCCCTCCGTGCCATGCCTAGCCTGAGCAAGGTGTCTCTCTATAGAAATTGGGCCCCACAAAATCAGTTCATGCATTAGAGTTAGATCCTGGGCCCACTGTCAGTGGCCCCATATACTGCCCAAGTCACACCATTGTCACCTGTATTCAGGGGGCCTAGTTCAGTCCTTAGCAGCTACCCAGTTGTCAGTCTAGAGTCAGTGATCTCCCACTAGACCCAGAAAGACAAATATAGTATGTATTCATTCATAAGTGGATACCAGACATAAAGCAAAAAGATAAAAGCCTACCATCCACAATACAGGAAAAGCTAGAACCCTCTTCCTTAGACATGTTAAATAATTACATTTATAGTACTTGTCCCAGGACATGTGTAATATTGGGGAAGGGATTTTGCTTTTGTTTCCATAGAAGATGAAAAGCTATGGATGGCATCAAAATTGATAAAAGATTCAATTTGAGCAAAAGGCACCTCTTAATTAGAAGAGATGATAGTTCATCAAGCAGCATGACCATTTAATCTAACCTAACCTAAAAAACTGATAAATTTTTTTTAAAATAATTTATTTAACTTTATTTTATGTGTGTTGGTATTAAGGTGTCAGACTCCCTGAAACTGGAGTTACACAGTTGTGAGCTGCCATGTAGGTGCTGGGAATTGAACCAGGGTCCTCTGGAAGAAGCAGTCAGTACTCTAAACCACTGAGCCATCTCTCCAGCTTCCTGATAAATGTTTTTCATTTGATCAGAAATAACTTGCTAATACTGGGTGGTGGTGGCACACACCTTTAATCCTAGCACTCAGGAGGCAGAGGCAGGCGGATCTCTGTGAGTTCAAGGCCAGCCTGGCCTATAAGAGTTAGTTTCAGGACAAGCATTAAAGCTACACAGAGAAAAGCTGTCTCAAAAGAAAAAAGAAAAGGAATAAATTGCCAAAAGAAAACCTCCCCAAAATTAGGGTTGAGGAACAATTTTGTTTTTTCTCTTTTCAGGAGAACAAATGAGACATCTGAAGAAAAAAGTACAAATCAAAAAAAAAAAAAAAAAAAAAAGCAGAGAGAGAGAGAGAGAGAGAGAGAGAGAGAGAGAGAGAGAGAGAGAGAGAGAAAGAAAATTGGCCTATTGGTATACCACATTTCCAACAGGATAAAATTTCATAAATCTTCCGAGGTGTTTGTTTCTGCTATTATTTGCAGAAACATAGTGCAAATGATCTTTCTGGAGTTCCAATGCAATTAAAAACTAAACCTGGCTTTGGATCTGGAGTGTGGCTCTTTCCTTCTCTAACCACAAGCATGCTCATTAAAGTAAAATCCAAAATCTCTATGGCATGCTAGAAGAGTCACCGGATATGGGACAGAAAAACAAACATTTAAGGACTATATTATTGCAAGAAATATCCTAATCTTTTGGCTTTATATTGACTCTTCAATGGTTTTTCTTAAGGTATACATTTTATAAGATTAATATATACATATTAAACTTGTCATGATATTAATGGTCACTTAGAGTACTCATTCTAGAAAAAGCTTTCATCTACCTTCTTATACATGATTTCAGCTTTGCGTTTATATCAGTTTTCTACAGTGAACCATGACCACACCTAACAGCCACCTTTAGAGTCTTCAAAAGGAGGATGGACTCCTACAATGATAATTCCACCAGGACTATAACACCCCCATGCTGAAAACACCACCTAAAGCTTGGCTTTGGAATACAAATTGCTCCGGAGAATTTCAAGGTGCTAGCTGAGATGATCCAGCCCTATAAACTACTCTTGCTAGGACTTGGGACAATCCTTGCACTTTCCCATTACAGAGAGACTAGAAAGCAAATGATAAAGCTACTTCTCCCAGGAATTGACAATTAACCCAAATTTTCCTTCTCAAAATCCCCCAAAGATGCCATTGCCCCCAGACAGCAGAAAATAAATTTAAAATATGAAACTCATTCTCAAAAGGTAGGGTGGGTGTTTTCTTGGTCATTCAATGGGTTGATGTGGGATGTCCTTCTGTATATGTGTTTCTTTTATTGCTTGATGAATAAAGCTATTTTGGCCAATGGCTTAGCAGAGAAAAGCCAGGTGGAAAATTCAAACAGATATACAGAAACTAGGCAGAGTCGGGGAGACACCATGTAGATACCAAAGGAGCCTGATATCAGAACCTTACCCAGTAGGCCACAGTTTCGTGGTGATACACAGAATAATTAATTTAATATGTAAGAGTTACTTAATAAGAAGCCTAAGCTAATAAGTCATGTAGTATTCTAATTTCATTTCTGTGTGATTATTTGGATCTGAGCAGCTGGGAAACAAAAGCACAGTCTCTGCACACAAAATGGCATGCTAACATAGGACAACTAGATCCACATAAAACCTTTGGAAGGAATTCTAGACACACACACACACATAAACAGGGTTAAGCACAGCTTCATGGTAGCAGCATTTCTTGGGGCTCTGTTTGCTAGAAGCAAGCAGTAGCATGATTTCTTTAAGAGAAAGCTTCCTGACTCAGCAATAGCAACAAAAACTGCACAGCTCTGTTAATGACTTCCTGGTTCATTCTGGTAGCAAGAATGAACTCTGGGTCTTTGGGGAGGTCTTGCACTTAAATGGAATAAATTAGATTTGTGACCAGTGTGGTACAAGTTGCTTATTGGCAACACAGACCTGCTGTGTCCTTGGAGTTGAGGAAGCATGGCTCGCAGGTGGTGAAGATGCCTCCACCACGTTGGACTGAGAGAAGCAAACAAATCTGAACAGAGATAGAGAGAGAGTAGGTGGAGTCAGGGAGATACCATGTAACTACCGATGGACCCCTATGCCAGAACCTTACCCAGTAAGCCACTGCCTCAGAATAAAAATGGGTTAATTTAAAATGTAAGCCTGAGCCACTGGGCCAAGGAGTGCTGTAATTAATATAGGTTCTGTATGATTATTTGAGTCTGAGAAGCTAGGAATAGAAACAAAAGAACAACCTCCACTTATAATGAGTTATGGATAATTATCATTTTGGGGGGGACGGTTAGTTATAAGTTGTTATTGGTTACAATCAGAAGAAGAGTTAAATAAAGTTGATTAGATTGAGGGTTCTTGTTTTAAAAAGAAAAAGTAGGATAAGATACAATGGCATAAAAGGGTAGATTGAATCTACTTTGAAAAGCAAAAGGTAGGATATAGATATGATAAGATAAGGTAGTGTAGTAGGAGCAGCGGGCTGCGTCCCGCCACCCGGCAAGCTTTACCCAAAATAATTACACAGAAACTGTATTCTTTTACACACTGCTTGGCTCATTAGTTCCAGCCTCTTATTCGCTAGCTCTTACATATTGATCTAACCCATTTTTAATAATCTGTGTAGCCCACAAGCTGGCTTACCAGGAAAGATCTTAACCTGTGTCTGCCTGGAGTGGGAGAATTATGGCGACTCCTTGACTCAGCTTCTTTCTCCCAGCCTTCTGTTCTGTCTACTCCGCCTACCTAATTTTCTGTCCTATCAGGGCCAAGCAGTTTATTAATTAACCAATAAAAGCAACAGATTAGAAAGAAACCACTCCCACATCAAGGTAGTGCTATAAACCACAACATTATACAGCAATTACTCAGCCATTTTTGTCATGAGGTCAACCCATCAGTCAGGGACTCTCTTTTGGAAGAATAAACTCCAGAGACAGGTCTTTACTCAAAACTCACTCAAGAGATTTATTTGAGAGGGAGGAATCCAGGAGAGTGACTGCCTCTCCAAGTGTAGAAAAGGGCAGCTGCTAACTCAACAACCAGAGGGCTGATATAGAGTTGCTTATGGCAGAGATTTTCCATGGATAAGATTTTCAGGGTGGGAATCGGTCAGACATAAATTGCTCAATTAAAAAAAGAGATTGGCTAGATTTCATGATCAGGGATTGGTTGGTTTCAAGCATACGGAGTGACTTTGTGTTCAGTTGGTCAAAGGTAGAGTGTGATTCTTTTACTGGCTCTGGATTCAGGGGCAAAGCAAGTTTGCTTGGCCCTGGTTTCAAGGTCAGAATGTATTCCCATGGCTAACCTTTTAGCCTACACATAAGGTATCAAAAATTCATGAATTCATTTTTCCTATGTGTTTCACAGTGCACACAATACAAAAACGGACATCATAATCCTTGAAGAGATTGTTGACACTGTCAATTTATTTCTAGAGAAAAATTACTGTTGCTTGACTGCTTGTAAGTTGTAGCACAATTTCTAGTCTTAGTAATATAAACCTGGACTCAGATATCAGGGTAAATGCTGAAAGATCACAGAAATAAAGGGGCAAGCCACAGGGGCTGGAGAGATGGCTCAGAGGTTAAGAGCATTGCCTGCTCTTCCAAAGGTCCTGAGTTCAATTCCCAGCAACCACATGGTAGCTCACAACCATCTATAATGCCTTCTTCTGGCCTGCAGGCATACAGATATATTGTATACATACTAAATAAATATTTAAAAAAGGGGGCAAGCCACAGAGAAATTATTTACCTTTACCAAATCCTCAGAACAAAGTGGGGAAGACCCTGTCTCTACAAATCCTCAGTCTTAATGGGCTGATCTCCTTTCTCCTCCTGCCTTATGTTCTTCTCTCTGCCAAGCCATATACCATCCTGTTTCCACCTCCCAAGTGCTAGAATTAATGGCACATGGTTTACAAATTCCAATATTAAATATGTGAGCCACAACTGCCTTGTTGTTTCTCTTTTAGAGCGGTCAATCTAGTGTATCCAAGGTGGCCTAGAAATCACAGAGAACCACCTGCCCCTGCCTCTTGACTGCTGGAATTAAAGATGCGTGTCACCACTGCCTGCACTCTCTGGCTAACTATAGCCTATCACAGCACTCTGACCTTCAGGTAAGTTTTACATGTTAAAGCACAAACAAAATATTAGCACAGTAAGAATATTGGCTAAAGATCTTACCAAATACTTTACAATAAATAGACATCAGTATCCTTTCTAGGTAACAATGACAATTTTAATATGCAAAGTCGATATCAAATTGAATGTACACAAAAATTTTATGGCTGAAAAACTTTTTAAAACTGAGGACATTTATGGAGTTTCAAAATTGGATGACTTTTTCTCATGATTTTGAAGACTGCATAAGATTTCTCTCAAGTATGTGTTCTTTTACGCAATTGAAGATGACTATTATGATACAAAGGATTAACCACATTGATTAGAAAGTTTTTCCTCCAGACTGAGTTCGTTTATGCCTTTGAATATAACTGTGATCAGTAAAGGCTTCACCACACTGACTGCATTCAGTTTCACTCAAGTATGAGTCCTTTTATGCATTTGAAGAAGCGTGTAAAGGCTTTACCACACTGATAACATTCCGAGGGTTTCTCTCCAGTATTTGTTCTTTTATGCCATTGAAGATGACTGTTATTTGCAAAGACTGTAAGACACACATTACATTCATAGGCTTTGGCTCCACTATGTGTGTGTGTGTGTGTGTTTTTTAATGCATTCCAAGAACACTTTGACATGCAAAGACTTTACCACATGGATTACATTCATGGGATTTCTCTCCAGTATGTGTTCCCTCCTGATCTTGAAGAGAACTATGACATGCAAAGGCTTTACCACACTTCTTTCCTCATAAGGTTTCTCTCCAGTTATGTGTTCTTTTATGCTTTAGAAGAGAGCTTTGACAAGAAAAGGCTTTACCTCACTGATTAAATTTATAGGGTTTCTCTCCAGTATGTGTTCTTTCATGACGCTGAAGATGACTAAGACGTCCAAAAGGTTTACCACATAGATTACATTCATAGGGTTTCTTTCCAATATGTGTTCCTTCATGCATTTGAAGATGCCTGTGATAATGAAACATTTTACCACACAGACTACACTCATAGGGTGTTTTTCCAATATGTGTTCTTTTATGGACTTTAAGCCTATATGGAAGTGAAAAAGCTTTACCACAGAGATTACATTCATGGGGTTTCTCTCCAGTATGTATTCTCTTATGAATTTTAAGATTAAATTTATATGCAAAGGGTCTACCACACTGATCACATTCATAGTGTTTCTCTCCAGTATGTGTTCTTTCATGACGTCGAAGAAAAGAAGGATGTCTAAAAGCTTTACCACACAGATTACATTCATAGGGTTTCTCTCCAGTATGTATTCTTTTATGCCTTCGAAGAGAGCTTTGACAAGAAAGGGCTTTACCACACTGATTACATTCATAGGGTTTCTCTCCAGTATGTGTTCTTTTATGACTCTGAAGATGACTAAGGCGTGTAAAGGCTTTACCACACAGATTACATTCATGGGGTTTCTCCCCAGTATGGGTTCTTTCATGCGTTCGAAGACGACTGTGATAATGAAACCTTTTACCACACAGACTACAGTCATAGGGTTTTTCTTTAGTATGTATTTCATTATGGATTTTAAGTGTATGTTGAACTTCAAATGCTTTACCACACAGATTACATGTATAGGGTTTTTCTCCAGTATGTGTTCTTTTATGACTTTTAAGAGAATTGTGATGTGCAAAGGCTTTACCACACTGATTACATGTATAGGGTTTTTCTCCAGTATGTGTTCTTTCATGAATTTTAAGAGAATTGCAACGTGCAAAGGCTTTACCACACTGATTACATTCATAGGGTTTCTTTCCAGGATGTGTTCTTTTATGACTTTGAAGATCACATTTAGTTGCAAAGGCTTTACCACACAGATTACAGTCATACAGTTTCTCTCCAGTATGGGTTCTTTCGTGGTTTTGAAGATTGCTACGAAATGCAAAGGCTTTACCACACTGATTACATTTATAGGGTTTCTCTCCAGTATGTGTTCTTTTGTGGTTTTGAAGATTACTAGGAAATGCAAAGGCTTTACCACACAGATTACATTCATACAGTTTCTCTCCAGTATGTGTTCTTTCGTGGTTTTGAAGATTACTACGAAATGCAAAGGCTTTACCACACTGATTACATTTATAGGGTTTCTCTCTAGTATGTGGTTTTTCATGTTTTTGAAGATGATAGCCATATGCAAAGGCTTCAGCACATTGAGTGTATTCAGGTTTCTCTCCAGTTTGGTTTCTATAGTTCCTGTAAGGATAATTAGCACATGTAAAAGCTTTATCACATTCCATACAAATGTTGAATCTTTATATGTGCATGAACTAATTTTACAATGTGCTCCAATTTTAAATAGGAATTAGACATTAAGGTTTTATTACTCTTTAAACTCATGTTGTTTCCCTTCATTAAAGGATGCCTTGTATCTTTGAGGATACCTTTAGTACATGGTTCACCTTTAGAGAAACTTTTCTCTACATAAGGTCTACCACACATGTGAAGAGAACTGGAAAATCCCAGTGGTTTAACACACTTATGGTATCCACAAATTTCCTTTTATTCTGAATCATACTACACTTGTTAAGTGAGCTGGGACAATGAGAGGTATTTACACAGTCAAAGAACTCATATGGCTTTTATTCAATATGAGTTTGTTGATAGATTAAAAATGAACCTGGAAAACCAATCATATACTTGAATCAAATACGGAAAGTATACTCAACATAAGGACTGCTTGCTACTTATCTTCCAATTGTCCTGTGAGAGAAGTATTGATATGGGAGGTCCTTTTGTATATTTATTGCTTTTATTGGTTAATGAATAAGGAATCCACCTTAGCCTGTGGTAGGGCAGAGTAAAGTTAGGTGGGAACTAATTTGAATATTGGAAGAAAAAAAGGCGGAGTCAAGTAGATATCATGGACATTCCATAAAGGAACGATGTAAGCTGCTTATTGGAACATTGCCCGTAGGCCATACCCTCACAGTAAAATATAAAATAATGCAAATGGGTTAGTCCTAGACGTAAGAGGTAGATAGGAATACGGTTAAGTGATTGGCCAAGCAGTGATTTAAGTCATAGTTTCTGAGTTATTCTGTGGTAAGGGGAGCTGGGAACGAAAGAGCGGCCTCCTAATACAAACAAGAGTCCTCCTACTATAGGTATGTTACATCTCTGCATATCCCTGGGCTCAAATGACGTGTATCCAGAATAACATAAGTACTAAAGAGAATATAAAAAATAAAAGGTTTACAGATTGAATTTACAGTTTGACTTTCTGTTCCTCAGAGACTCATAGTATAGTGATTAAGGTTTCTCTACAACCACTGCACCTTGACTCTTGAATCTACTGACCATCTCATTAAACATAGCACAGTCACAACTCTAAGAATAATACTAGCTTGACTGTGGAATATTTCCTTAGTAGAAGTGTTGGAGATTTATCTATCTCCACTTCAATGTGTTATCCTTTGTAATATGAGTAGCCTGAGACAACTGCAACGGACAGTTCTACAGCATAGCTCTCATGGGACAAAGATTCAAATGGCGATATCTAGTAAGGCATTATCCTCTGTCTTCTTTCTTAAAAAATGCCTTGCAAATTCAATTCTCCTACCTAAATGGAGGTATATGGTTTTGCGAGAGCTTATTAATCATCAATGACCTTTAAGCTGTGGTTATTTACACTTTTGCTTTGGTTGAAAACTTCCAGGACACATTACAATTTCTTCAGAGCCACATTTGTGTCTGCTTGCACATGAAAATTACCTCTTTTGTCTTCTAGAAATTTGATAATTTTCTTCAATGTTATGATCTTCCCAACTGTAACCTAAAATATAGTATCAGAAAATGTATGTTATACTACAAAAATTGTCTAAAATTTAAGTTACTATCCCCAGTAAACCTTCGAACCATGCCTGATCATTCACCTCATCCTTCTCTCTCTCTCAATCAAATTACAAAAAGCATCAACAATAAAGGAACAATTGTCACCTTATTTTAAAACCTGAAGGAAGACTGAGTCTTACCTATACTCCTGAGGTTCCTGTAGGTCTCCAGCATCACATCCTCGTAGAGCTCCTTCTGGGAAGGATCCAGCAAAGCCCACTCTTCCCGAGTGAAGTTGATGTGCACATCATCATAGGTCACTGCAGTCTAAGATGTAGACATGCATGCTCAGTTTACTAAGTAAGCTCAGAGATCTGCCTTCCTGAAATTATCTTTCTCAGCAGACAGCTAATTATTTGGTCAGTGCTTAGGGTAAAGACAAGATAAGCCCACTTAAGCTATTTTAACAGATAGCCAAGGACACAGAATTACTACTTGACCAGAGTGGCTGAATCATAGCTGCTCAGACAGACTGAAGAAAAAGTATGCTCTGGCTTTAACTCACTCAAAAGATGCCTAAGTCCTTATGGTCACCTTTTACTCAGTTTACTGATGACATTAGTTCAGGAAATTTACATGATATGGGAGTGTCATATATCAATCTGTTGATTTCATTGGTTAAGCAATAAAGAAACTCCTTGGCCCTGATAGGTTAAAACATAGGTGGAAGGAGTAAACAGAATAGGATGCTGGGAGGAAGAGGAAGTGAGGTCAGACTCTGCTCTGCTCCCGGAGAGACCCGACAGCTCTGCTCTCTGGAGCAGAGATGCCATGCTCAGCTCTCCCGGGTAGACACACGATAGCTCTGTGCTCTGAGGCACACACAATGAAGCTCCTCCGACCCAGGATGGACGTAGGCTAGAATCTACCCGGTAAGCGCACCTTGGAGTGCTTACACAGATGATTAGAAATGGGCTAAATTAATATGTGAGAATTAGCCTAGAAGAGGCTAGATAGAAATGGGTCAAGCAGTGTTTAAATGAATACAGTTTGTGTGTTGTTATTTCGGGCATGAGCTAGCAGGCGGCCGGGGTGCTGGGGACGCAGCCCCGCCGCTCCAATTTCAACATTTACAGGTTCTGTCTTACTCTCAAGGACAGCAGAAGAGATAACTATAAATCGGAGAAAGATCCACAACACCCACAATTAGACCGGTTGATAACAGCCTAGCCCAGAATTAATGATAGAGGTCTGGGTCTCTTCTTCGCTTAGAGCAGTAACTCTAACTCCAAACCTCAGACTGTACAAATTACAGCATCTGATGTATGTGCTATCAGATTCAGGAGCCATTAGCTTCCCCATGAACATTTACTTAGTTTGCTTGTTTACCCAGTTCTATGCATGGTGGAAGAAAAGAAGTGGTATGCTGATTTAAACAATCCATGCCCTATTTATAATTTTACTGAAAATAAACTTTTAGCTTTTCCTAACACCTAAAAATGTAGTAAAGCACATTAACCTGCCCCTCTAAAATTCGCTAATGATTTAATTCCTTTTATACCTAACTTTCTCCAATAAGGACTTCACCAGACTTGTACTAGCCAGTCCCAGAGCATATTCTCTCTCTCTCTCTCTCTCTCTCTCTCTCTCTCTCTCTCTCTCTCTGTGTGTGTGTGTGTGTGTGTGAAAATTCTTACTTGATTTGTTATGGGTCAAATTCTGGTCCTGAATCATGCTAAGGCTGGGGAATTCCTGATTTTAAAGATATTTTATATATATATATATGTATGTATATATATATATATATATATGTTTGTAATAGAAAGAACAAGGTAGAACAAGGAAGTATAAGGATTGAGAGAAGAATAAAGAAACATGGACAGACAGAACTTGCTGTGAGTAGGCTTCTTTACCTTCAGATTTTAGACCACCAGCAATTGAAAGAAAGTCACCAAGGAGAGACACATGTTCAAATACATCATCCTCTCTGGGAAGTTTTTCATTCAATCAACCACATTCTGACCCAGGTTACTATAGGCTCAAGGTCATCCATGACAAAAATGCATTTAGTCACTTGAATAATCCTCATAGTCTGCAACAACCCCTACACTGTTCAAATGTCCAAAGTCTCTGACATTCAAGACAATCTCTTGACGGTGACATCTTGTAAAACCAGAAAACAAGTTACATCTTTCCAACATCAATGGCACAGAATACCATTCACATTCCAAAAGAGAGAAATGGAGATCAAGTGAGGGCAGACTGGACAAAGGCAAGACTGGAGCACAGCAGGACAAGCATCAACTCCTATGGTCATCTCTCAAATGCATGGGGCTCCAGTGTCAACCCCTCTCTCTCTCTCTCTCTCTCTCTCTCTCTCTCTCTCTCTCTCTCTCTCTCTCTCTCTCTCTCCATCTAACAATCCAACCCAAGCTTCTTCTGTGATGTTCTTTAAGACGTGTTATATTTACTTATGCTGTGGAACATTTCTTATGATGACAAAATGATGTGCTGAAGTCTTTTATGTTGTATTTGTTTAACTTTGTGAAGCTGTGATACTTTGCCTGTCTAAAATTCTTTATTGGTCTAATAAAGAGCTGAACATCCAATAGCTTCTCAGGAAAGGATAGGCAGGTCTGGCAGTTAAGACAAAACAAATGGAAGAAGATATTTGGGAGGAAAAAAGGAAGGAGGAGCAAGAAAAGGAGAGGACACCAGGACTAGTCACCCAGATACACAGCAAGCCATGGGTTAAGAATTAAAGAAAGTCATCCAGATAAAGAGAAAGATAAAAGCCACAGAGACAAAAGGTAGATAGGAAAATTAAAAAAAAAAAAAACTGCCTAGAAAGTAGTCAATCTTAGGCCAGGTATTTATAAGAAAGAATAAGCTTCCCTGTGTGTTATTTATTTGAGAGATGGGTGGCAGACTGAGTGGTAAAGAGTTAAAAAAAAAAAAAAAAAGAGCCAGCAATACAAAGCTTCATTCTATGTAGCTTCATGCAATGAACTCTTACAGTCAACTCATTGGGTTTCTGACTCTGCCAAACATAAATGCCTGCAGCAATGCTGGACTGTAATCACAAACTAAGAATCCACAACCTTAAAGTTTTGATTCCTTATTGTTTCTATGACCAAGATATGATGGGTGATCCTAAAAAGTTTGAGTTCTTAATTGGGATGGACACTAATGTGCTTTGACCACAGATGCAGGAGGTTTGAATGAACGTGCTTCTTGGATCTAAGAATGACTTTTCTTACTCCTTCCATAAATTGAAGTTTTCCTGGATAGAGTCTTACCCTTAGGGCATCTTGACAGGCTTCCATTCCATAGCAAGGGCCTTCTCTATAATGGTGACACACTGCTTGAAAATACTTTCCTTTTTCAGCACTTGACTGCCATCTGAAACTACCTTTTCATTTATTTCTGCTTCATTTGTCTTTTTTCACTGTAGACTCAAACGAGCCATCAGTAATCACCATCCAACAAATTCAATTATTTTTAATTCTGCTTTACTGAATTTCTAAGACATAGGCAGAATATAGGTTGCAGAACCAAAATATCACAAAATGACCTCTAGCTTAATATTTTAATGGAGTCTATCTAGTCTGGTCTGCTATTATTCTTAATATTCTCATTTTCCTGGCTCTACATGAAGAGTCAGTTTGGTTCTGTGTGCAACTTCCTATGGTTTTGCCACCTAACATCTGTATGATTAAATTCTCTAATCAAAAGCATTTCAGGCAATGAACAGGTTTATTTGGCTGATTTTGTCAGATCACACTCCATCATTATGGAACCTTGGGATAGAACCTCAAGCTAACAATTGAAGGCAAAGCCCATGGGTAAAGACTGTTTCCTGGCTTTCTCTCTTGCCTCCTCACTGTCTGATGAGTCCAGCTTCACATTCATAGGGACTTCCCACATCAGTCATAATTAAACACAATCTCTCACAGATATAGCACGTTCTGACCATTATTAACAAAGCCACTATGAACATATTTGAGACAGTGTCTGTGTCTCAGATGAGCATCTTTTAGTTGAGAAAGTGGCCGTGTGTTAGGACAGATGAGCATCTTCTGGGTATATGCCCAAGAATCATCTAAATAGCTAGGTCTTAAAGTAGATCGACTCTGAATTTTCTGAGGATTACATATTGATTTCCACAGTGGTTATACAAGGTTACACACGCAACAGCAGTCAAACACCTTGTTTCATGTCCTTTCCAGCATTAGCTGTCACTTGTCTTATTAATCTAAACTATTGTTACATATTTAAGAGAAAATCTCAAAGTAGTTTTGATATGCAGTTCCCTGATGGCTAAGGATGTTGAACATTTTCAAGTGTTTCTCAGCTATTTTAGATTTCTCTACTAACAATTTTGTTTAGAGGTGTACACCATTATAGTTGGATCATTTAGTTTGCTGTTGTCTAGTTTCTTAAATTCTTTATTATCCTGTTTGACACAACCCAGAAGCACATAGACAAACATGGTATACTCATGTATAAGTGGATATCAGCAGTTAAGTAAAGTACAATGACAGTAATCTCCGCTAAGCATAGTACAATCCATAGATACAGAGAGTCTAAGTCACAAGAATACCTGTAGGGAACACTGGAGGCAGGTAAGGATGGTAACACAATAAGGATCAGGGGAATAATCAAAGAACAGGGGGAGAAGAAAGCGAGGGATGACTGGAATAGTAGGGGGTATGAAACAGTGCAGTGTAAACCTTCCTGGAACCTATATGGGTGATCCTAGGAAAAATCAAGAATACAAAAGCTACACAAGGTATCTAAAACTATGGAACCTATAAGAGTGACCCTAGTGAGGACTGCTAGAAATCAAAAATACAGAGGCTATACCAGGTAACATCTGATTTAATAGAAATGGGTTAATCAAGATGTGAGAGTTAGGCAATAAGAGGCTAGAAATAATGGGCCAAGCAGTGTTTAAATGAATACAGTTTCTGTGTAATTATTTCGGGGATAAGCTAGTAGGGTGGCAGGACACAGCCAGCTCCTCCTTACAACAGAGTGGTGCCCCAAAGTGGTAACGAACTCCACGTAAAACCTGAGAGGGCTTAGAAAGGAATTCTAGACACAAATATAGAGTTTAGCACAGCTGGCAGCATACCATAGCTCCTTTAAGAGAATTTCCTGACTCAGCAGCAGTAACCAAAAAAAGAGTGCCATTTTAAAATGTGGCTTCCTGGACTGTGCCGCCAGTAGAAACACCAGCTATTAAGCATTTCAGTGGCTTTTGTGGGACCGGATGTTTGTGTGCCCTGTCGGGATAGGGAAGAAAGTACTCTGAGACTATGCCA